CACAAAACATTTCTTCCATGTTTTAATTTTAATAGTAAATCCTTTGTTTGCCAAAAAAAATCTTGTTTGCTTAATTTTCAATAATTAAAAGATAAATGATAAATTAAATTAATATGTTATGCCTTCATGTAAAATGTAAATACACAACACAGAATTTCTGAGGGGAAAACAAATTCATAAGGCTACTTTTAAGAAATAAGATGAATAAATTAAGTTGTTTTATGCCTTCAAATAATTAGACATGCTAAAACACAGAATTTGGTAACAATAAACAATATGGTGAGAAAAAATTAAACATTTCATAGGGCCCTAAACATGTAATTTTTGTTAAACTTTTAATAAATTGATGTGAAAATGTATAAGTTTCATGATTTTAATTAATTTAACTATTAAAAAGGAGTCGAGAAAAATTAAAATGGAAAAAACGGAATTTGGAAAAAAATAATACGGATTTCAAAGGGCCCTAACTATCCCTCAGCCTTGCCGCGCCCCCCAGTTTGGCAACCACTGCTTTATTCTTTTAAATTGACACATTAATCGTGTTTATTAATTATTTTTTTATTAAACTGGAAATCAGTTTACTAAATAATGTAAACTTGACTTTCCACTTTAAAGGGATATTTATGTTGTTTATTATTTGTTTTTATTTATACTATTTATAATTTTTGTGCAATTACTTGCCTGTCAGTTGAGTTTGTGGCAAAACATTTTGCAGTGTTTACATGTTGTTTATTACTGCATAAAATGTATTAAAATAGATGTTTAATTTCATAAAGTACAAGTTGATTTCAAAATGCACCTACTTTTTAGCATTTTGTGTTTTTCAGTTGAATAAAAGAATATTTTTCCCTATATATATTTCATCATTGAGGATTTCTTTAAAAAAGTCTAAAAATCTCGTCTCGTCTCGTGGGATAAGTGTCTCGTCACACACCTAATATTTATGTATGTGTTAGGGTTCTAAATCAGATGGTTCATCACGATATGATATGATACTGATTCTCATAACCAGCGATAAGATATATGCAGATACCTCAAAAAATTCTATATTGATCGATTTATCAATATTATGATATTATGTTGCTATTTTAAACAACCATCTACATTTTTATTAACTCCCAAATGCAACCAAAATATACAACATGAACATTTATCTGAAATTTCCACATCCTGTACCTCAATTGGGACACTCAAAACAAAAAAATAGGCCTACACTTTTTTTTTTCAATAATTAAAAAAATAAAAATAAAAATCAGGTCACACATAAGATCAGTAATTTTTAATGACATGACAGCAGTCAAGGAAGTCTGTGCTAAAATGTGCAATGTGTAAAATACTGTAAATCCTCATTAGGAAACAACAAATATGTGGTACTTCAGTTGTAGTACCTAATACATTAATGTATTACAAAAATACATTAATGTAGAAAAATATATATAAATAATAACAAAAATAAAGCTGTTAAAACTTTATTTTAGACTTTTTTTTGCTGCTACAATGGTCTCAATGCTAAACATCTTTTCCACAGATTCTACAGAACCAAATTACAAGCAATATCAAAAAAAAAAAGAAATGCAATAGAACAAAGACACAAATTCAGTAAACAGTGCTTTTCAGGTTTTTCAGGTAGGTCTAAAAGACATTTTCAGGTGCATAAATGTAATAACTAAATGTAAAATAACACTGCATAGTCTTCACAGTATAAATTAAATATAGATTAATCATTATTAATGTTACAAAAGTTATTCAGTCAGAAGCAGTGAGCACTAATTTTTCTTTGACAGCAGCAGGTTTATTATTAAAGCATTAATCCCCAAGAAGCCATGGTTTACAGTGAATTTATAACAGCTAAGAGGGTTTTAACAATGCCCCTTAGCTGTTATAAATTCACTGTAAACCACGGCCAAAATAAAGTGCCTATTTATACTACAGATATCGATATTTTATGCGTGTCATTGATATATCATATCGTTAGACATTTGATCGATGTATCAATGGATCGTTACACCCCAGTATGTATTTATGTATGTATGTACCGTATTGGCCCGAATATAAGACGACCCTGATTATAAGACGACCCCCCTTTTTCCAGATGTACCTTTTGGAAAAAGGCTTTTTAAAAACCAAATCTTGTTTTTTCTCAGTAAAAATACACAAAATAATGTTCTTTTTATCAGCATCATATGACCCATTTAAGTATTTCATGGCACACTCGTTTTATGCGTATTTGGCGCCACCTATTGTAGTGGGTGTATTATTGACATGTCAAAGTCTAGACCCTGAATATAAGACGACCGCGTTTTTTCAGATGTATTTCCAAGAAAAAAATATCGTCTTATATTCGGGACAATACGGTATTAGGGATGTAACAATATTATCAATATCGCGATATCATGATAGTAAAACTGTCTCGACATTATCGTGGTCACATGACGATATATTAAAAGATAGGTCTTCCGGGGAAAAGTGTAGTTTATATATAAAATATATTTGTTTTGGGCCATTATGCTTTGGCACATTATCTGTTAAACGAAATAAAACCGAAAGCACAATATGGCTTCATCCTTTCATCAAGTTTGTTTTCACTGTGTGTTTTAAAGCGAAGCACACACTTGGTTCAGACGATCAGCTCGTGATCCGGTGTTTTCCGCGTCTCAGAACGACTCGTTCACACTGAATGAATGCAGTCAACTCCTTTATTTCACTGCTGTGAGTTTAGCACACGTTTGGGAACACAACGGCCACCAGTTAGGCTTTATTTTCACAGCAGATGATTACAGCATTTCACTAGATTTGTAGTGAGATGCGTTTTTGTAAACATGTTTTCACTGAAGCTGGAGTTTTCCTTCAAAATAAAAGCTCTACAGCTGTTTCTGTCAAAATAAAAGCTTAAAAGTACAGTATGAATTGCTGACAGCTAGCGGTTTAAATGCAGTCCAAATTCAAAGTATCTCTTTCAGGTGTAGAAATTTGTAATTTCCCTACTGTAGTGTAAAGCAAAAATAATATACCAATGAAATATTTATGTTTTACAATATGTGGCAATTACTGTCATTGTTGTTGTTATTATTATTCTATTCTAATTTGTTTGGCTTCCTAAAACACCGGTGTGAATGTAATTTAGACTGAGGCAGTAGATCACGAATAAAAAGAGGGTTGAGTCCCCTTTAAAGTTCAGCTACAAGTCAATTCACTGACTTTTTTCTGACTTCTTCTTAGTTAAGTTTTTTCTGAAGTTTTCTTAGTTAAGGACACGGTTCGAGCTCTTAATTTGGAACTCTCAAAGTGCATTAGATAGAATAATTTAACTTTAAAATGTACAAAATGTTAATTTTTTTCCCGATTCTTAATTTCTTTTTTTTTTTAAATATCACAATAAATATCATACCGTGGACTTCATATCGCGATATTATCGTATTGTGAGACTTTGATATCATTACATCCCTAGTATGTATTAGGGGTGTGAACCTACACTGGTCTCACGGTTCGGTTCGTTACGATTATCATGTCATCGATTCGGTTCAATTCGATATCATGATGCATCACAATGCATTGACAATGCACTGCATCCTCAATTTTCTATTTTACTTCACATTTTTACAATTTTGTCAATAAATACAAGCAGTCAGATATATGATCTGTACCTGACCTGGTTTCTTAAGTTAGTGGTATTACCCCCTGCTAGTGATGTGACATTTGAACCGAGGCATCGGAGCTTGTGTCGAGAATAAATGGACGTGCTAGATAAAGCCTCGATTCGAAGCGTGTGTCGTGTTGTTAATTGTCATAGAAATCACGTGATCAATGACAAATGAAGCTTCACTTTCTGTCCAGTCACGTGTGCGATTCACTTTGCGTGTCGAAATGTTCAATCCCCCAGATCTTACTTTACAAATAAGTTTTAATTCGGACTTATTCAGTTACATTTTAGATACCCAGTCATACAAGTAATATGAAGAATACAAATTATTTCAGAAAAATTCAATATTTGTCGTATGCTATTCATATGAGTACATTATTCTTCTATTACATCATATTGATATTCGTACTGGTATTAAATTGCAGTTTAATCTGATAATGAATTTATCAGAAACTCAACAAACACACACTGCTAGGCTTTTATTTGTGCACGTAACTTGAATCAATCTGTGGAATATGTGGTAGATGCCTCGTCCTACGGAGCGTCTTTCACTGGCTTTTGGCTGCTATATTTTTTATTAACCACCAGATGGCGCTGTTTTCGAGACACTCAAAGCTTTGAATCTTTTCCCGAAACAGTCAGAGGAAAGCCACAGTGCTTCACGATGCTTCATTTGCCCATCCCTACCCCCTACATATTTCATATAGTGCGTGACATGATTTACACACAGCGTGTGTCTTCTACAGGTCGTGCTCAGGTTGTTCATAAAAGCTGAAATGTGGCCAGATGTCGGCTTTTAAAGCAGTTAGAGCATTTTTAATTACTCTCACTCGCCTCCCTCCACCATTAGGCGCGTTCGATTTGAAGCAGCGCTGCACAGGATGAGTGTATGACATTAACCGTGAAAAGCTTAAGGATCTGTCTGCTCTCTTATCGCTCTCGTGGTACTCGGTCATACACTGATCATTCTGCGCAGCGGCGCTTCAAGCCGAACACGCCTAATGTATGCTACCGCGACAAAGCACGTATGCGACAAATGACGTCAGAAAAGCGTCAGTACGTTATAATCGATTACTGAACCGATACCGAACCGTCCTCACCTGCATCGCGATGCATCGAAGAAACGATTCATTTCGACACCCCTAGTATGTATGCGTTTGAATTACATTAAAAAACTTCCAGATGTTACTGTGGTGTATGTGTGTGTTTTAAGTGCTGCTCTGACAGGACTACAGGAATAATTATATTACAGGACTATTGATATTGGTCAAAAACACGTGCATGCTTATAGTTAATACAGTATGAGCTCCATCAAAACTGCTTGCTGAAACTCACCACCCAGAACTTGAGGAAATACTGAAACACTGTTGATGCAATGAACACGCAGTAGATCATGGAGTAAGACAGGAACAGCAGAAAGAACTTATAGTTGGAGAATCCCACACAGTTGTTTACCCTGAAGAGCACATCATACAAAGAGGTCACATATCTAGCATTCCAGACTGTACAAATGTAATGTAATATTGCTTATGAGATAAGATTAACACAACTGAGAACAATAGATTACTTGACTCATAATATAATAAGTTACCATTTACCATGGACAGTGGTGATCCATTTTCAAAACGCATCTACAAAAACACAGGAACGTAGTGAAATCAGGTCGTGTTGCTCAACAGCATCCTGTAACTTTAATTAAAAAACGGGGGTTTTGTGTAGAGAGATCTGTTTTCAGGAACAGGGTTGGTGCGGTGCTGGACTTACGTTTCACAGACGGAGCAGTGGTGACAGCGGTCTGGCTTTATCACCTGACAGCGGTCACAGAACCTGACAGCTAAACACACGGAGATAAAGAAGATCAGCTGTCCGTGTTTACATCCCATCACATGCTTGACTGGCAAACACTGCCAGGTGTCTGATACCTCCTGACTGAGCGCGCGTGAAGATGGGAAGTTTCTTGGCGATTTCTGTGAGAATCTGCTTCTGAGCATCTGGCCTTTCTTCCATCTCATACCTCTCTTTATCACTGTATGATAAATGGAACTAGATAGAAAAAAATATATTTTAAAAATATAAAGATTTTTTTTTGCCTTGTGACATTTTAATGACAACCAAGCAATTATCACCTACAGTTGTCATTTTTATTTATTTATTATTATAATATTTTTTTTTTTAGTTGTAATTTTACATTTTTAAAATGTGCCACTATCCTAGGTTTTGCCTAATTGTCAGTAAGAATTTTTTACTAATTTAAAACCCAATAAAATTTAATATGCTTCCTTATTATTTTATATATTTTAATATGTACACGTCAGAAAAAGCATGTTTGAATTTTTACAAAAATATTATGTTACACCGAATGACAATGTAACATTATTTCGACCAAATTTTAACATTTTATTCTCCTAAAACTTATTTGAAACCTTAAAATTAGACACTTTACTTACATTTAATGTGCTTTCTATGGACATAAAATCACTTTTGTACATTTCTTTTGATGCGGACATCTTAACATCTTTTCACAGGAAAAATATGTTATATTTGTATATTAAATATATTTATATATGATATAAATTATATAAATATATACATGTAAATATTTTCAAAATATATATTGTA